CTCTTTCTTCCCTGGGAAGAAGGAAAGAATCTATACAACCTTAAGAGCTCAATGGCAACCTCTGCTCTAGTTCTGTCCTGCCCACACTTTAACATTCTGTTCCACAATACTGTCTCCAAGGCAGGACTTTCATTAGTCAGTTATGCTCTAATTGGAGTAAATTCTTTCTTTTCAGGTTCATAAATCATTCCTTTCTTTGTCTGATATACCAACCAGAGCCTGTGCCAAGCTCTAGTTGGTCACCAGACCAAAAACTTGCTTATTTTACTTTTTAAATACCAGCCATGTGAGTTTGTGACCTTGGAAGTGAGTCCTTCAGCAACAGTCAAGCCTTCAGATAACTTGAATCCAGACTAACATCCAAAATGTAACCTCATAAGAGATCCCAAGCCAGAACCATCCAGCTAAACCACTTGTGTGTTCCTAACACACAGTGTGAGATAATTAAATGCCCCTATTAAAAAAATTGGTAGCATTTAAGACCTTTGTTTTAAGGTCTGATTCTGGATTCTTCTGCCCTGTGTTTCCACTGCTTTCATCTATCCCCTCAGTGCCAGAGATGAAGACTCCTTTTCCAAGTACACATAAACTAAGTTAAGTTCAAAAGCTGGACAAGTTATCAGAAAGATAAATTATTTTAATCACATTCTATAAATAATAAGGGTAACATTTGTTTCAAGGCCTCCAGAACTTCTTAAAGGAAAAACAGTTGTCTGAGGTATGATTAAAATGCCTTTGACTTTAGTGGTCAGCTTTTTAAAAGTGGAAGATATTTAAATAAATAAATAAATAAATAAATAAATAAATAAATAAATAAATAAATAAATAGTGAAAGATATTTTAAAGCTATTGTGGTCTTCAGTTGATCAAGATCAAGGAAAAACTGCCGGCCTGCGTGGCTCAGCTGTTGAGCATGGACCTATGATTCAGATCTTGGTTCGATTCCCGGTCAGGGCACATGCCCAGCAAGAGGCAGCTGATCAACGATTCTCATTACTGATGTTTCTCTCTCACTCTCACTCTCCCTCTCCATTCCTCTATCTGAAATCAATAAAAAAGTATTTTTAAAAAAAGATCAAGGAAAAACTAATCATTACCTCATTAGCTTCACTAACTCGGTACCCACTCAAACCCAGAATTACAGCCTACAAAATCTGGAGTTAAAATTCAGACTTGGCCATTACTAACAACTCAGTTTCCTTGTCTATAAATATAAATGCTCCATTTTTAAGTTCCCTACAGCACCTAACCATTCATGCTCTGGTTTCTTCAGCAGTCTTGCCCCTAACCACCACAAAACTGTCTTCCAGGTCTCAGTAAGACTTGGTGAAAAAGATTATATCTCAATTACAGAGCTGTCAGTAACAACCTTACTGACTTTTCTCCTGATCAAGGAAAGCTACAGAAATGCTAGGATAGGGTTGCCCAATCTTGGCATTACTGATTTCCAAGCCAGGTAATTCTTTGTGGTGGGGATCCATCTTGTGCACTGTACGATATTTAGCAGCATTCCTGGTCTCTATACACTGAATGACAGTAGCACCACTTCCACTAGACATGACAACCAAAAATGTCTCCACACACTGCTAAATGTTCCCTGGGGGTAGAATCAGCCCTGGTTGAGAACCACAGGGCTAAGGGATGACTGCCTAAGGTTCTTGCCAAGCTCCTGACCTGGGTACCAGAGGAGGGAGGCCTGGCACCATCTCCTTGGCTAGGCCAACATAAAGCAGTCTACAGAGGAGTCCCAGAGGCTCAGGTTCCATTCTTAGTCTCTAACATTCTAGAGTAGAATGCTGGTTACCAGGCAACCACATATACTCAGCCTAATATGCCCCTCAAAGGGGGAGGCCTAGTTTATGGCTCCTGGTTGAGCAGCCTCATTGGTTACTACCAAGACAAACCCAGCAGTCCAGTTCATCCAGAAATGATTTACCATTGCCCAAGCATATCCCAGGCCCCCCTCTCTGATCTCATCATCCACCCTCCCCTTTGCTCAAGTCCACTGGCCTCCCTGGCAGAACTTATAAGGAGCCAGGCAGCTCCTGCACCTGGGCCTTTATGTCAAGAGCTCCCTGGGCCATTTATTCTTAAATCCCTTACTTTATTCAGGTCTCTGCTTGAATGTCGTCATCTCTTTAGAGGCCTCTAACTACCCCATGTAATAGAACAACCCCCTCGAGTTACTGACCACCCCAGAATATATCTCACATTCGTTTGCTTGCTGTGGTCTGCCCCGTCGTATAAGCAGCTTGAGGAATTCTTGCCAGTATTCCAGTGCCTATTCAGCACCTGACATGATAAATCTGACAGATGGTGAATGAATCACCATGGAAACGAGCCACTGCACCCAAGACTCAGGCTCAGCCCCAGCCCCAGCCCCTCAGGAACCAAGGTACCCCGCTCAGCCCAAACCCTTCAAACATTTATTCCTCGCCCCGGGGCCTGCGGCCTCTCCCAGCCCGGGGGCCGTCACCGGGCGGGAGGGGCTGCGGTATCTTGCAGGGAAACTGCGCGGGGGAGGGTGCGGCAATGGCCACGGCAGCCGACCCCGCTGACTGATCAGAAGGGCCGAAGCCTGAGAAAGGGCGACCTGAAGCTTCGAGGTCCGAAAAGGCCAGGCCAGGGGCGGAGGTGGTGGGAGAAAAGACCTCCGGCGCCGAGACCGGAGTCTGCGGACGCGAGCGACAGGAACCGCAACCTCGGACGGCCGGGAGCCGGGATACGAGGGTGCAAGCACAGAGAACTGAAGAGCCAATGCTTGAGGGTACCCGTCCGCGGCGCCATTTTGTGACCGCAGAGAGCAGTACCCAGCCCCTGGCAAAGCGCGGGCAAGTCAGACGCGGCCTTAGCACGTCCCGGTCCCTCCCTACACGGAACCTAACTCCTGACCCTGCCGGGCTCACCTGTGTAGCTCATGGCAGGGGCGAACACTACACCTGAGAACTGCGGCAGATTCCCCCACGTCTGACGCGGATATACCGTGACAATCCCCCCGGCTCTTTCTACTCACAACCGAGCCCCGCCTCCCAACCGCATTGGCTCACTCCAGGCTGACTACACGTCTATTGGGCCATCAAGCTGTCTATCTCAAGGTATCCTCATACCAATGACTGAGGCTGTTGCCAATCTAACGGGAGCCCCACCCTGTTCCCGCCTTCCGTTATTTCAGGCCCGCGCTGATTGGCGAAGATAAGCCGGTCTGGAGGTGGAGACCTGTAGAGTTCGGGGAGGCGGGGCTATACACTACGGAAAGACCTGAGGCTCAAGTAAAGCCTGGCGGGCGGAGGCTCTGTAACCCTGGAAGCCCACCAGAGGGAGCCGGGTCTACAGCGCAGGGCACCGCTCCAATCCCCGCTGTGCCACTGGGGTACTGTGCCAACCAAGGCTAAATTTCTAACGTCTCTGGCCTTCAGCTCCAAAACGAGCACAGTAAAACCATATTGGAATGAAAATTACAACTAAGCGCCAAGCAAGATGTTGGGCACAGGTTCAAACATGATATATGTAAAGCAATCAGTTCACCGCCGGGTGTACTAAAAAATGTTACGTTTTGTTATCAGTGGTTACATTAACTACATCAAATATATTTATATAGCATGTTTATATTATATATGTAATAAATGTATTATCATCTTAAAAGTTCCCTCACACCTGAAAGGACCTTGTTTTTTTAAAATTCTCATTTAAAAGATAAGAAAACCAAGACTTGGAATTCATGACTTGCTCAAGGTCCTTGGACATTAAGTGTTAAAGCTGGGACGACCCCTCTAAAATCTTGGTCATTCTGGACTTTAGAGATCCTGCAGTGGCCCTGCCAGGTTCCAGCCCTGTTTTCAGCACTCTCGCTGGATATGTGCAATCCAGTGTCAGAGACATCTCATAACTTCTAAGACATTATTGGCAGAGCTGCAGACACTAAAAATGGTACTTAACATGTGTTTGTGAAAATTCATCAAGCTACACAATTATGACTGTTATACTTTTTTCAGATGATGGAGGAGGAGGAGGAGGCAAAGATTTTATACCTGAAGAGATTGGTCATGAGTTAATAATTGATAAATAGATGAAGGCTTCATTGTAGGGTTGGGATTCTCCATAAAATTTTGGTAAAATTCCTCCTCTCTCTACAAATGAGGCTTCTACAGAACTTGCTGCCACATGGGACAAGGCTTAGGAGGTACTGAGAAACTCCATATGTGAACTCTGCTTAATGTACATTCCAGCTTTGGGGCTTGGCTCATTTGTGTCATCCTCAGGGACACTTGCCTGCCTGTCCTCTAAAGCAGTACCCTGGATACTTCTCTTGGGGAGCTTTCTTCCTAGCACATACCACAGCCATCATTTTACCTTCCTTTGATGATTATGTTAACATTCCACTGTCTGTCTCCGAGAAAGTCAGAATGACTTAAGGGATATGCTTGGGATGTGCTCAGTTTTAGGAAAAGATCTCTCTGTTATAAGAACTATATGTGACCCTTTCAAGGACTCACACAGCTAGCACAACACAACTGTGCGTGAGGAAGGGCTTCCCGTGTTACTTTGTAAGTTATTGCACCATTTTAACTTTTTTTATATTCAGCTTACATCATTTTTATACTTTTTAAACTAATTTGTAAAAATATAAAAGAAGTGTCTTTAGGTCAGTTAGTTATCATCCAAGAGATACTCTCCCTGCTTTCAAAATCTCAGACACATCCGCCCACAGTGTGGGATAGACAGCAGTGGTGGAAGCCTTCCTCCACCAGGCAAGATATGTGTCCTGACCTCCCATGAGCAGAAAAGCCTAGCGTGCAGGCCAAGACAATTCCTGTAGGCATGTTGTTACAGCTTCTTAGGCCCTCCTTCCCAGCCAGGTACATGGTGGGGGCTGGGGTAAAAGGGTTGGGGATTGAGGAGGCCTCCTCTGTCTACACCCCATAAGGTTATTCCGACTTTCCAGCCCTTGGCCATTTAAGTGAAAATGATGAGCTGAAAAACCACATGCAATAAACAAGAAGGAGCAGCCAACAAATTCTCTTAAAATCTCAGAAATGTTCAATAAACATTTGTAGAGCGAGAAAATAAATAACATCTCAGAGGAGCCAGCAGCTGCCTTTCTCCTTCTTACTGGGGTTCAGGGTGCATGTATCTCCCGACAGGTCACATATCTTGAGGGCAGGGCAGGCCAGTCCCAGCTCTCTAAAGGCTCCTGGCTGCTGTGTCCTCCTCCCTCTCCCACAGTGCCCCCTACGCCCTCACTGGTCCGCTCCGGACTCTGAGAGCTCTTGGGCCTCAATCACTTTTCCATTCTGGCTACCTTCCTGGACCAGCTGTCCAAAGCCCTGTTTCCTCTCCTCTGTACATAGAAGCCGATTCACCAGCAGGCCAGAGCCCACACAGGCCATGCCATAGAGGGCCAACAAGCTGGGAACTTGAGCTCATCCCCAGTTGGGTCTGGTTGGCTTGGTGGCCAAAGGGAAAACCCAGGACCTCATGGGCCAAGAGAGAACCAGAACAGGGGGTCTTTGGGGTCTTTGCAAATGGCCACAGATGGCTCTGGGTGGAGGTGGCCTGATCCCAGCCCCAAGTGCCAGCTGATGCCAGCCTGTCCACTTGACAGAAAAACACACGCTGGCCGCCTGCCCCGGGGTGTTTCCAGAAGAGAAATTTAATCTAATTTACATACTTCTAGATACATTGATAACCAAAATGTGGCCACTGAAAAAAGTTAAAAGATCGATCAGCTCCCAGTTTCTAGCTGGCCCAGGATCGCAAAATAAAAAGATCCACGTTCCTTATTCTCTACACAAAACGCGTTTTTAAAAAAGTGAAAGGTCTAGGGAGCTATACATAGAAAGGAACAGTGAAAAGAGGGAGGGGGTTGGAAGTGGGGAGGAGAGTCCCACCCCACTCCCTCCAGGGCCCGGAGCCCCCAGAGGTTCTGGGGAGTCTGGACATGGCAGGAGGCAGCTGTCAGCTCTGAGCTCTTCCCAGCTGGGAAGGCCCCTCTGGGGAGGCAGGGAGGGTCCAACAAGGATTTCCGTGGCATTGTGGGCTCAGTGGGGGCTCCCAGGCCCTGGTGGGCCTGCAGAGTGAGCGTGCCTTCCCCTGAGCAAGCACCGTGGCATGATGTGGTCGTTTGACTCGGGAACTGGGGGGCTGGAGCAGATCCCGGGTCTCACGAGGTGTGTGTGTATGTGTGTGTGTGTGTGTGTGTGCGTGCGTGAGAGGATAGTCACAGGGCAAGGGGGAACCAGAACAGGGGTTCTTTGGGGTCTTTGCAAATGGCCACAGATGGCAAACTGATCCCCATCTGGCTGCTAGACACTGGAGACTGCTGGCCTTCCTCCCATGACCAGATCACCTGCCACCAGGGACCTGGCCGCTGCCCTGGCTGGATTGGGTAGGTGTGGCCTGAAGGAAGACGCCCTGGGTTTGGCCCCAGCATCCTTGAGCTGAGGGAGGGGCGCCCTGGCTGTAGTGTGCCCGGCCCCCAAGGGTGCCGGTTTGAGGTTTTGGCTTGCTCCTTTGGGAACAGAAAAGAAAGGAGGAAGAGAGGGAAGAGGAGACCAAGGAGGAGTAGGAGACAGAGGTGGCACGAGAGAGATCTGGAATGCTTTTGTGTTAGGGTGCCTCTGCTGCCGCTGTCTGTGCTGGCGGGACCTGAGGCTCCTCGGGCGGGGGGTCTGCTTTGGAGAAATTCATCTCCAGGATGTGCCGCTGTAAGTGCCGCACCCACTCCTCCTGGATGGAGAGAGGTCCCTGGAATTCCACCTCACAGAACCTGTGTGGGGGACAGAGAGAGGGAGGAGTGGCCAGTGCCCTGGCTATACCCTGAGTGTCCAGCAAACCTGCTGCTGCTCAATATGGACAGAGCAAGCCCAAATTTGAGGGAAGGGAACCCAGAAGCCAGATGTTCCCCAATGGAGAGCTACCTCCACCCATCACGGAGTGCTGGTCAGGTCCCCTGGAGCCCCATCTCTATGCTCAGGGCAGTCTGCTGGCTCAGGTGCTGGGTATGGGCCATCTGGCTCCCCAAGCACCTCCACCATCTGACTGTAAGCATGTGCTCTGATTGGAAAGAGCAGAGAAACAGATCTTGCCCTGCCAGGCTCCAGGACAGAAGGATTCTGGGGAAAGGAGGGTCAGGCACTAACAAGCACCCACCCTGCTCATGCACCCAACTCACCAGCTCCCAGCCCTCATGACCCTAAACAAGGTCTCACAGCACAGGAGCCCCAAACCCAAGCTTGTGGCTGGAGAGACTTAGGTTTGAATCTTACTTCTGACTTTGCCTATGTGGCCTGAAGTGGCCCCCTCACATTCCAGACTCCCAGTTTCCTGGCCTCTGACATTCACCTAGACTTTGGTAATAATGAACTAAGACCTATTTTTTTCTTAATCAGGAAGACACCTGTTGAGCGCTTACTGTGTTCCAGACATAGTCTGAATGCTTTATAAACATTCAACTCTTTAATCCTCATAACAAATCAATAAGGTAGGTTTGCTATCAACCCCCATTGTAGAGGTGGGAATATTGAGGCATGGAGCAGAAAGTCCTTGCCCAAGGTCACTAAGCTGCTAAGTGAGGTCTCAATGGCCACAAAGCTCAGAGTCCCAGCCTAATGCTCTGAGGCATCTCTGTCTGTGAGGAGCCCTTAGCCCGGGTCCAGCCCACCCAGGGCATTGTTGAAACTCCCTTTCCCAACCCTAAGCAGCCTCTGTCCTGTTCAGAGGCTCTGGGTGGCCAAGCTCCAGGCAGGTAGCCTCCCTCCTTCCCTCCCTCTCCCAGGGGCCTCATACCTGCACTTGAGGGTATAGATGTTGCCGACGAACTTAACCAGTGACGTCTGGGGGGGACGGGGCACCAGGGAGGGGACTGGCCGGACCCGGGGTGGGGGTTGCCGCACCTCCTCCAGCTTCTGCTGCAGGTCACTGGCCTCCTCGCCCCCCAGGGCCGCAGAGGTATCTGCAGGGCGGGCTTGTCGGCGCTCAAATTCTGAGGGGGGGGAAGGGACAGGAGATGAGCTGAAGGGCAAGGCCCCTGGGGAGGTTCCTGCCTTCAGCAAGTGATGGGTGATTACTGTGGGGATTGGCCAGCTGGTGCCTGGATGCTGCCTGGCCCTGGTGACAGGTGGGATGGCAGATGGATAAGTGAATGGGTAAGCAACTGAGGAAGTGACTCCAGGGCAGATGCACAGCAGAAAACCTGGGGGAACAGTGGATGGAACCTGCTGGTGTCCATCGCCCTCATGACCCTCTGCCCCCAACACTCACTGTTGATGTTCTGCCGCTGGTGCTCCTCAGCTTTCACAGTGCCCGGTGGGCTGGCTGCCAAAGGCCGCTCACCACTGTCAGCTGCCCGGCCAGCCTCTGGCCCTGGCTCACCCCCAGCACTGCGGCCCAGCATGGACAGGCCCCCAGGTGCCAGCCCCAGGGGCAGCCGTTTGTCGCCCTCACGGCCATGGCCGGCGCTGCGGAACTTCTTGGTGAAGGGGCGGCCACCCTGGATGTAGCTGCGGTAGGCGCCCACCTTCTGGGGCCGGTGCTTGATCCACTCGCTCAGTGTCTCGATGGGTGAGCCATTCACACACCACTCAGTCACGCCGAACTGCCGCAGGTGTGCCCGAGCATGGCTGGCCAGGGCCTTGCGGTTTTCAAAGTAAAGGCCACACAGCTCACAGCAGGCCTCAGTGGCTGCAGACAGAGGGGGCGCTGCTGAGCCCCAGTCCCAAGGGAGCAAGGGTACCCAGAAGTTGCCGCCCTGGTCGGAGACAATCCCGCCTCCCACTGGGGCCTTGACCCTTTCCTGGGGGTGGGCATGCATGTGGCAGTGCCCGGCCCTGCAGATGCCCTCCCAAGACCCTGCCACCCACTGCTTACAGGAGTGGGAGGTCTTCTCATGAAGGGTCTTTGCCTTGAAGGGCAGTTCAGTCTGGATGTAGGTCTTGGCCTTGACCTCTGCAGGGAGGAGGCGGTCCTCCTGCAGGGGTCGCTTGGCTGCCACTGAGCCCAGGTAGCTGGTAGCTGAGGGCTTGGCACTGGTGATGGGTGCCAGGCTGAGGTCACGGGGTACCTGGGCCAGCCCAGCTCCTGGTTTGCCTGGCCGGCCAGCCATGGGCACCAGTGGCAGAAGGGGCTGCACAGACCCAGGAGCCGCTGTGGGGGACCCGTCCTCAACCAAGGCAGGGGCCAGGTCTCCAGCTGGAGGCTCCTTCTTGATGAGGCACGGCTTGGACTTCTTCTTAAGGATCTCCCGAAGTGTGTCAATGGGCGAGCCATTGACGGACCACTCAGTCACACCCATCTGTCGCAGGTGGGAGCGTGCGTGGCTGGACAGGCCCTTGCGGTTCTCAAAGAACTCACCACAGAACTCACAGCGGATGTCACGCACTGGCTCTGCCCGTGATGCTGCACGGGGTCAGGGAAGAGGGGAAAAGAGGGAGGTGGCTATTGGCAGGAAGCCTCCAAGGCCAGTGTTAGCTGCCCTGCTGAACCATTCATGAAGCCCCAGACCCGAATGACCTGCTCCCTCATCTTCCTCCAGGAGCCCTTGTGTACATCTAGTCCTTCTGCTTGTTCTGTCACCTCAAGGTCTATCTGGCTTTCAGAAGGCTCCCTGTGACATGGTGATGTGTTAAGGATCAAGCACTCCCTTAATCCAGGGCTCAGATGCCAGGGTGACTGTGACCCAGTGTGATGCTGGGTAAGCCACTTCCCCTCTGAGCCTGTTTCCTCCTTGGCAAAATGGAAATGAAAACTTCCACCTCCCAGTGTTACTGGGATGGCCTAAAGCGGGAGCATGGCACCAAGCAGCACAAAATCACATGAGCACTAGCGCTGGGCCATCCTCATCTGCTGGGCATGCAGTAAGAGCTCAGCCCATCTGATAGTGCAAAAGGAAAGTGAGTGACAGGGACATTACAACTACTGCATACACAAAGCTTTTTTTAACTTGGCACCTTGCTAAGTGCTTTACATCACTTCACAAAACCATACAGAGTGGAGACTATGCTGATCTCTATCCTCCAAAAGAGGAAACCTGCCCAAGGTCCTTGTTACTAGACTGTGGGGCAGCTGAGAACCTAACCTGAACCTGACACCCACTTAGTGACCACAAATGTCAGAAAGACAGGTTAGAGACCAACTTCTGGTGGGTCTCTACTCCTGCCCATGGCAGGCATCACTAATTGATCCCTGCAATCTTTCTCCCTGGGAATCTGGTTGGTAGCCACTAACCAATCAATCGGAGGTGACACAAGAAATGGAATCTTTTCGCCACCACTGAATGTATAAATGAAGGAGAATCAAGAAACAGCTCAGCTGGGAACAGCATAGCAGACCATACAGCTAGCCCCTTGCCTTCTGGACCTGTGTATCCTCCCTTCCATTTCAACCCTGGGCCCTCTGGGTACCCTGAGGGGTCGGGGGAGGGAACCCCTCACTGATTTCTTCTCCCTGCCTTGTCCCAGGGTTACACTTACACAGGTTCAAGGGGGCCATGTCTTCCCGTGGTGCCACCCAGGGACCCTCAGACGGGTGAGGCTCCCCATGAAGGGCCCCCGGCAGCATCTCACGCTTAATCTCCACACGCATTTGTTCAGGCTTCAGCTTCTTGGTCAGGGAGGGTGCAGTCAGGCCCGAGAACATCTTTCGGGCAGTGGGAGGAGGAGAGGCAGTTGGTGAGTGGCCCAGGGGGCTGCCTGGTGGCGGCCCCAACTTCTTGGCCAGGGGCGAGAGGTGAAGGTCTGCAGGGCTGCGGGCTTCCAGCGAGCTGCCAGGACCTCCGCTGCCCACCACCTTGGCCAGGGCTTTTGGAGTAGGTCCCGGAGGATTGAGGGGTCCGCCAGGCCTGGACTGGGTCCGTCTCTTGAGGATCTCCCGCAGTGTGTCAATGGGCGAGCCGTTGACATACCACTCAGTCACGCCCATCTGCCGCAGGTGTGAGCGTGCATGACTGGAAAGACCCTTTCGGTTCTCGAAGAACTCACCGCAGAACTCGCAGCGGATGTCACGAGCTGGTTCTGGGCCTGAGGCTGCAGCAGAAGAAAGGGGCAGTTAGCACCATGGGTACCATCAGCATTGCCACCTGTGGGTCTCCTGGTCAGCTGGGCAGCAGCACGCCCACAGGCTAAGGTAGTGGTTGAGGGCAGGTGTAGGCCAGGGAGCTGAGGATTGGGGTGGGGACCAGACACCCAGCAGGAGCGAGGGGAAGCTCCAAAGAGCCATGGGCCCTCCTTGGTCCTGGTGGCAAAAAACAGAACCAAGATTCCACGGCTCCACAGGTCCCGACAAGGACTGGGGCAGGAAGGCAAGAAGCGGCAGCCTAAATGCCATGTGCCATCCAGACCAGGGAAAACCATGGGCACCTTCCACACCAACAGGCAGCACCCCACCCTTGGCCTTCATTCTCAGAGAAGGTCAAGTCATGGAGGTCAAAGGCCGAGAGGGAGGGCATAACAGCCGACTGCCAACAAGAGCTCTGGGCAGAGCCAGCCCACTGCCAAGGGCCCCTGTCTACTCCCTGCCCCAGCAAAGAGGAAGTAGGGAGGGGGCTGCGACCCCCCGGGGAGGGGCTCCAGGGCCCGCAGGGAGGAGGGGGCAGCTGAAGCGAGAACCTACAGAGGTTGAGAGGAGACGGCTCCACATCAGAGGCCCAGAAAATGCCAGCGGCTGCGGCGGCCGAGAGGTCCTGCTTCCCCCAGGGGCTGGCCATACCCGCAGCCTTCAGCTTGGCCTTCTTGGCCGGCGGTGGGGGGGGGAGCAAGGAGAGGGCCGCAGAGGCGGGAGGAGGCCGCCCCAGCTGGGCCAGCACGCCGCGCCCGGGTGGGAGGCGATTCTGGACGCCGACCCTCCTGATGAGCCCGTGGAGCACGTCTATGGGGGATCCCTTGGCGTCCGGGTCGCTGACGCCCAGGTGGCGCAGGTGGGCGCGGGCGTGGCTGGACAGGCCCTTTCGGGTCTCAAACCAGGCACCACACAGCTGGCAGTCCAGCTCTCTGCCCCCGTCACTATCTAAAGCTGCGGAGACAAAACACAGGGGGGGGGTTCACGGCCGCCACCTTGGCCGGCCCTGGGGGACTGAGGCAGGAGGGCCTGGTGTGATTCTCGGCTGCTCAGGCCATCCGGGGTCCAAGACTTATGCCACAGATTGATTTTAAGAGGTTCTGGGAAGTGGGAAGTCCTGTTCCCTGCCTTGCCCTCTGGCATAAAGGTGAGTGTGGAGAGCTCAAGGATGTGGGATAGAGAGGCAGTAGCCCAATTCTAGTGGTCTAATCTGATGCCCTCAGGCCTTCTTCACTGGGACCCCAGCTATGGGAGCTCTGCAGGGTAGGTGGTGGGTACAAAGCAGGGCCCTGCCTGGCTACCCAGCATCATGTAGCCAAAGGCACACCTGCTTGGGGCCCTGCTCCTGGAAGCACAGCAGACCATGGGAGCCTGAGGTGCCCTGTTGGCCCAGGGGGCCAAGACCCTGGGCTCAGTTTTAGGCCCTAGGGGCCACCAATATGTGGGAAGGCCTGATCTCCTAAGGGCCACCCAATCTGAGGCAGTTTCTTCCCACACCCTACTTAGTCAGATCCACAGGCAGACTGGACCCTACACAGTTAAGAGGTGCCTCTGCACAGGACTGATGCCCAAGAGCATGTGAAGACAGGGCCAACCACGGGACCTCCTGTCAGGTGGACCATCTATCTACCTGTGGGACCCAAGGTGCTCCATGGGAACCCTGGTTCCCTTCATTGCCCCAACCCTCAGGCCCAGATAAGACAAAAAGCTGCCCCTAAGTGGCAAGGGTGACCCTGGCTACTTAATAGCCACAGCCAAGACCCCAGGGCAAGAACAGCAAAGTGGAAGACAGGTGATAATATGTAGTGTGGCCAGCACAACAGGAGACACAGCACCATGACCAACACTCTGACCCAATTGACCCAGAACACAGGAGCTGCAGTCTCCATTGCCCCCACCCTGAACTGTATAGCCCAATATGAGGCCCCCACCCTCCCAGTGCTGGTACCTCCCTCAGCTCCCAGGACCCACACTCACTGAGGTTCAGGGGCCCCTCGTCCTCAGACTGAGGCCACTGTGCCTTTGGGGAGGCCGGCCGGGGACTCAGGGATAGTTGGGGGCTCTTGTCCTCAGGATTCTTGGGGGTAGGGGAGCCTGCCAAGGCCAGTGGTGCCTTCTTGAGGAGTGGGGAGCTGGGCGGGTGAGCCAGGCCCTTGGCTGAGAAGCCAGGAGGTGACTTGATGGCCTTGTTGACAGCAGGGGCATCCAGGGGCTTGGCCAGGGTGAGCAGGCTCTGTCGGGGGGCCCCAGCGACCACCTCCTTCGGCGAGCTGGACTTCTTAGTCAGGCCCTGGGGCAGCCCGAGGGGTGTGTCAGGCAGGCCCTTCTGCTTCACGAGCTCGTAGAGGAGGTCGATGGGGGCACCGCTGCTCTCAGACTCAGCCACACCCAGCTGCCGCAGGTGGGAGCGCGCATGGCTGGACAGGCCCTTGCGTGTCTCAAAGCAGGCACCGCAGACCTCGCAGGTAGTCAGGCTCTGGGCTAGAGGGCAAGACAGAGGCCAGGAGAGCCAGCTGTGAGGCCCCACAGGCCCTGCTCTCCCACTTCTCTTCCCCTGGGGCCCAGCTCACTCAGGCTCCTTACAAGGGTTTTGCTTTGGTCAAGCCCACATGATCCTTAAAATGACCCTAATGAGGCAAGAACTCATCCCAGTTGGCAAATAAGGAAACTGAGTCTCAGAGAGTGGAAGAGTTGTGCCCAAGGGCACACAGCAGGAGGCAGAGCCTTACTGTGGTCCAACTGGTGAAATGCCTTTTGAATCTCCAATGTACCAACCAGTGTCCTGGCAACAGGTTTTCTCCCAAATGCTGACCTGCCAGCCACACACTTTACAGAGTCAAGTCCTGGCCACCCTCTGCCACTCAACTCATGCCCCCAAGCGCTGCGCTGGAGGCCCCAGTCACGGTCTCTGTGGTGCCCTGCACCCTCTTCTGCAGAGCCTTTATCCCTGCCTGTTTGCTTCTTTGCCTCCCAGCTCCCCAACTTCATGACCCCAAGGGCAAGGGCCAGGTATGTTTTGCATCTCTCATATCCCTGGGGTCCAGCAGTGTTTGACACTACTCAATAATGACCTGAGAATCAACCCACAGACAAGGCAGTGTCATGAGGAAGATTACACAGCTAACGAGAGTCAAAGTTAGCCAATGAACTGGGTCTGAGTGCGAGCCCTTGACAACCATGACCACTGCTTCTCTGGATGCCCCTCCCTTGCCCAGTGAGGGTGAAGCTCAAGGTCATGCATGCATGCTCAGGGCAGCAGCAGCTCAAAAAAGAAGACAGCTGGTGTCTCCTTGGTGCCTTGCAGTGCGAGAGAAAGCCGTGGGCAACCTGGGGCCCCCCATATTAATCCCCAGGCCCAAGAGCTCCCTGTGAGTGTGACCAGCCTGACCAGCACCACCGCCCTGCCACCTGGGCCACTCACCCTTGAGGTCCGGCAGCTCTTGCCTGCTACCATGAGAAACCTCTGCAGCCACTTTGCTGCTCAGCCGATTGGCCACCTGCTCCAGGGGCCCGGGAGCAGGTAGGCTCTTCCTGGGGAGCAGGGGGGAGCCCAAGTCCATGGACACCATGGTGTTTTCTTCAGAACCCAGGCCTGTGAGGTTAGGAAGACAGGCTCAGCCCAGGCAAGGCATAGGCTGTCTACCCCCATAAGGACTGAGAGCAGGGACATGGTGGTGTGGGGAAACTTCTTCCTCATCCTTGGTGCCTGCTCTCACTCTTGGAAGTTGAGGCTCCATCCAAAACCCCCAGAGCCAGTATGATGGAGGGATGTCAAGGATGCCTACTGACAGCAGAGACTGGGAACAACTTCCACCCCAGTCTCTGAACACAGTTAGGGGGACATAGTCTGAGCCAAGTCTCCCATCCTAGATCTCAGAGAAAATCTTTCTCTGGGTAGAGCTTGTGGAGGGAAGCATATGTCAGTCTTGGGAGTAGGTGGGGGGAAGGGGTCAGAAGGGGAATTCAGTAAGAGAAGGCCAGGGTCAGAGGCCAGAGAAGCAATGCAGAGGCGAGGAGCCAAGGACAGGGAGAAGGCTCCAAGGGACTTGTGCGGAATCTCCAACCAGACAAGACAGCTGGGGCTGGGGCTGCAGAAACAACTGGGGGGCCTCGGGACGGCCTACTTATCACAAGTTGAGCTCTAAGTGGGGTAACGTAAGAACGAGGATATCACTGAGGACAGGAAAAGTAGGAATCACAGAACTGTATAAAGTTTGTGAAGCGTCATCCATCATAACAGTAAGCTTCCCTGGGTTGGGTGTGCATGAGGAGAGGAAGTCAAAGGTGCATTTTCATAACCTAACTTTTCAGACAAAGGAGACTAAGAGGCCTGTTGGGCCCCAAGTTTAGTGTTTAGAGTATGGACAGAGCTCTGAGGATGAAGGACCAGTATGTCAGATGAGGTCTTGGAGGCATCAGTGCTATGATGGGGAGCCGGTGGGTCCCCTGCTCAATGTGAGTCCTACGGAAGCACGGAGAAGGCAGGCAGAGGGGGCCAGTGGGGCCAGGACACCGAGGACTTTGTCAAAGTCTCCGGGAGAAGTGAAGTGGGCGCGTCTGTCAGATGGGACAGGGACCGTGTCAGGGTTGAAGTGACTTGGAGTCGTTTTCACCGCCGGAGAGGCCGGAACTCTGGCGAGAGACGCTCCCGGGGCTCCAAGAGGAGCAAAGGGCATCTGTCAGACGGGGCGAGGGTCCCACGGGGTGGCGGTGGAGACTGTTTCTGAAGCCCGCAACCCCGAGAGCGGCGACAGGAGGCCCGGGACCCGCGCGACTGGAGGGCCTGGGGGGGAGGGGTAGTCCTGGAGACTGGACGGGGGGCGTCAAGGGCGTCTGCGGCTGGCAGGACGCCGACTTTGCCCTTCCCTAACCCTCCCCGGCTCGGGCTCTTACCCGGCGCGGGCGCGGGCGCGGGCCC